TGGGTATTGAGGAGGGCACCTTTTGGGATGAGCACTGGGTGTTGTATAGAAACCAATTTGACAATAAATTTCATATATAAAAAAAAAAAGAACTGTACATACTTGATGCAATTATATGAATTTAGGTGCAATTAGATGAATTTAGACATACACAAACACCATGATACCATATGACCACAATCAAGGTAATAGACATTAAGACTCTTATTTGATGAGTCATCATTTTTAATATTAATATGTTAATTAACATATTAGTCAACCTGTTTTTCTTTAGTTCTTTAAAGTCTTTCTTTGTGAAGCCCATCATTTGTCATTCTCCTCCTCCCTAAGACTGTATCTATTGACTGCTTTTTTTTAAGGGTGTCACTATTTCCTGTTTTTTGCATGTCACATTTTTTTTTCTTTTTGTTGAAAAGTGAATATTTTACATAATATATTGTAGCTACTCTGGATTCTGATTCCCCAAGAGTGGTTGTTATTGCTGCCCTTTGTGACCTGCCTGTATCAATTTTGTGGAGTCTGTGTCCCTTGCAGTATATGGCTTCTGATATATCAATCTACTTACTTTTTTCATTTATGTTTTTAATCTTAAGACTGGTTTAATGGGGTTCTTCCTTGGTCAGCATACATGGTCAGCCAATCAGTGGTCAGAGGTGTGCTTAAACACCTTGTGATGTGCTGTACTGTGTCTCCCTAAAGTTTATATATTAAAGTCCTAACTCCTAGTGCCCCAGAATGTGACTGTATTTGAAGACAGAGTCTTTAAAGTAGTAATAAAGTTATAATAAAGTCATTAAGGTGGGCTTTACTCCAAATGACTGATGTCCTTATAAGAGGAGGGAAGACCATGTGAAGACCTAGGGAGAAGACAGACATTTAAAGCCAAAGAGAGAGGCCTCTGAAGAAACAAAACCCTGTCAACACCTCGATTTTGGAATTCCAGCTTCCAGAAATGTGAGAAATGAAATTCTAGTTGTTTTAGTCATCTGGTCTGTAATAGTTTGTTATGGTAGCCCTAGCGAAGTAATACATATTTTGAGCCAGTAACATTTCCAGCCTTTGTCAATGAATCAATGTATCTTAGGGGATGTATTCAAAGTTTAGGCTGTTTGTAAATCTGCCCCAGCTTTTAATCTGTGTTTGCAAGGTGTCTTATTCAGCCAGGGGTGAGCAGTTTACTAGGACCCTCTCCAGTGTCCTAATGCGTGCATAGCCTAGCCCATGCACATTTATTGTGTTCCAAGGAAACAAGGATAAGTAGGATATTATCAAGGCCCACTTTGGCTCTCTTGCTCTCAGGATCTCCCCGTTAAGTTTCTGGCTGGTTACCAGTCAATTCCTACCCGAACAAACATCATGAGCTCAGTTAGGCTGAGTGTTACATTGGCTTTCCTAGATTTTTGGCCACTGAGATGACTACTGTTTTAATAACACCCCTGGTCATTAAACTTTCTGTACTCTAACAGAGTAAAACTAAATAAAAACCAATCCTATGTAAACTTCTGCAAAAGGGAACCTGGGAGTGGAGGCTGGGAGGAATTGGAGCAGCCCCAAACTAAAATGTTTAAACTATTCTTAGTGAGATTTAGTGAATTTTCTTCAGTAAATGCTTCTCAATACTTTGTATGCTTTGGTAAATTTCCAGAATCTTTAAAAGATTGTTTATTGACAGTTTGTCCAGTTTTAGCATTTATTTTCAGGGAGCATTACTATATCCTCACTCAACCATTCTGGAAGCCCCACCCATCCCCTATGTTCAGAAAACTCTTTTTTCCATGTAGTCTCAGTTACTTCTGCACTTCAGTTAGTCCCTGCATGGAGGCCTTTTCTTACTATCCTATGTAAAAATAATCTTTGCTTTGTCTTTTTACTCCATTTCTTTTTACTCCATAAGTTTTCCACTTCCTTAAATTATTTATATATATAAAAAATATATATATATATATATGTATACATACATATATGTATTATATATAAACA